GCCCACGCCCCCGCACCCTGCCCGCGCCCGGCGCCAGGGGCCCGCCTTCCCGGCGCCGCTCGTCCTGGCCTCGGAAATGTCTCGCCAGATCCCTGCAGTAAAAGGCCCCTCTTGACCGCCGCCCCTCTGGATGTTCTGACTGGAGTTCGCCCCGGGGCCCAGGGGCTGCGCCCTGCTCTCTCACCCCACCCCAGCCCCTTGGAAAGCAAGGTCAGGGAGACCCCACTGCCTGGCAAGGTGCAGGACGGGGGGTCACTGCCACCGCCTCTGTGGGGGGATGCGGGTGCTGGGCCAGGAGCTCTGCTGTGGCCTGCCCTGCGCGGACCCCAACCTCGGCCTGGGGGGTGTGGGACTGGGGTGGCCAGCGGGGCCCTACACAGTGGCCACTTCACCAAGTCAGTAACAGTTGGGGGCCCCTAAGCTGTCATCCTCTGACCCAGCGTGGCCTGGGCACTTGCCCATCTCCCTGCTGGCCTCCCGCAGACCCCCAAATCCCGGGAGAGCAGGGCAGCCCGCCGCTGTCCCTCAAGGCGCCCCCGTGTGAGGTGGCAGCCCCTGCAGGGAGGAGGCTCGCGGGAAGGGCCTCGGTGCGGGAAGCAGGAGAAGGAAAGCACCCAGGCTGGGTTCGGGGAGGCCAGTCCAAGGAGAGCCCCTCAGCCTGCTGGGGCGGGGCGCCTGGGGGGCTGGGCTGTGGGAGAAGGGCCGGGGAGGGCACCACGGGGCAGGCGCTGGGCGGCTGCTGGGGAGCTTTCCAGGAGGGGGCTGCAGCAGCCCGGCCCCGGGGTCATGCCAGGGCTGCAGTTGCTGCTGCGGCCCAACACCACTCGGGCCTTGGCTGCTGGGTGGACCTGGTGGGGAGCAGCAGCGAGAGGGGACACGTCCAGGTTGTGTGGTGCCCCAAGGGGCGGGTGGGGCAACACCGGGCCAACACCGGGCCAGGGGCTTCTGGAAGGAAAAGACAAGAGGAGCACTGACATGGGGCCTGCGCGTCTGGGGGAGGGTTCAAAGGTGGGTGCCCCGGGGTGGCTGCAGTGAGGCGCTGGGCACAGCATGAAGGGCAGGATCCGGTGGGGCGGCCCTGAGCCCAGGATGCAGGACAGGAGCCTGTCGGGGCCTGGGAGGGCGGGGACGCTGGGGCCAGGGGCTGCAGAGAGGACGGCAGGGGCCTCCCTGGGTACAGGGGTTGGGTCCGCTACCAAGGCACTGCAGGGCCCCCAGGGCGCGGCAGGCCCCTCCTGTCTCCCCACTGCCCCTCAGCGGGCATTTTAGTGGGCATTTAGTACTAAGCCCACTTGTCTGGGGAGTCCTCCCACTTCCCCGCACCTCTGGCCTGTACCCCAGCTCTGTGTGCATAAATAAGTAAATCTTTAAAGAAAAGAGGGATCAGGAGCTGGGCTGGGGGAAGCTTCTCAGGGAGACAGAAGAGGGCCACCTGCCTGTCCTGCTCCCCACTCTGTCTCGGTGAAGCCTCTCACCACCCTGCACCTCTGGGCTGTGCCCCCGTTCTGTATGAATAAATCTTTAATAATAACAATAATAATAATAATCAGGCTCGGGCCTCGGCTCAGTCTCCAGATGGGGGTCTCCACTGTCTGGGCCACAGGCCTGGTCTCCGCACCGAACTTCCTGGCGCACTGGGGGACGGATTCCCGTGGGACAAGGGCGCACGGGGCTGTGCTCCCCGGGCCGAGCCTGCCGTGGGAGGCCCACAGACAGCAAGGCCCGGCCTTGCTGCAGCCGGCGGCTGGGCCGCAGGAGTCGGGGCTGCTGGCCGTCGGGATCTGGCCTGAGCCTGGCCTGGCTGTGCGTGTGCTGGGAGCAGCCACCCTCGGCCTGCGGCGGCCCCACGGCCGGGAAAAGGGGCAGGACAGCCCGGGGCCTGTGTGGGCGGCCGTCCTATGTGGGGGACACGCGGGAGGAGGGAGCCAGGGCCCTGAACCCCCAGCTCACCTTGGAGCAACACAAGGCTGCCCGGGTCCGGTCGCGCCAGGGAGGGACAGTTGTGAGGACAGGCGTGAGGTGCACAGCCCGGCCCACTCCTCCAGACCGGAGTGGGTGGCTCTGCACACCCCCGCTGGGCTTCCTGGGTGTCAGAGGGGCGGCAGGAGGCCTGGAGGGTGGAGCCGCCCCCCAGGGCCTGGGGGTTGGGGCGCCTTGGGGAGGCAATACCCTGGGGGGCCCAGGAGAGAAGACCAGGGTCTGGAGGCCTGGGGGAGGCAGGCCTGGCCCCCCGAACTGGGGTGGGATCTGTGAGCACAGGAAGGGGCCTCTGAGCCCCACCCCACTTGCACCCCACTTGGGGGCGAGGGAGGGCTTATTAGGGAGCAGGCTGAGGGGGTTGGGCTCCCCGATTGAGTGACTCATCCAGCAAAGGTCAAGTCCACCGTGTGCTTCCCGGAGGGACAGACACCGCTCGCTCGTAGGGCAGCGGCTCCTGGGAGCCCCTGGGGCCACTCAGATCTGAACCTGCTCTCGCACCAGGGGCCTGAGCCCTCCTGAGCCTCTGCGCTTCGGGTAGGGGCAGGGGAGCTGCTCCTGCCTGCAGCGACGGTCACCTTCTCAGGTGACCTCCCCAGAGCCTGCCCCTGGCCCAGGCCACAAGCGGCTGCTCCCGGTGACCACAAGGGCCGGACTCAGGAACTCTGAGCTCCTGCCGGGCGGTGAGACTTGACTCGCAGTAGTCACTGGTGGACAGAAGTGTCCACGTGGCGGAGACCCTCAGAACACCATCAGCGCTTCAGAAGGGACCCTGTAAGCCTTAGCCAGCTCCCCCCAGCCCCCAGGGGGCCCAGGCAGCACCTCCACTCCCTGTGCTTAGAGCGCCCTCTGCTGGCCCCTCCTGTCAAGGTGGCTGCTGCCCAGCCACCCCCCCCACCCCACCCCCACGCTGGCGGGCTGGCGCTGGGGGAACCTCCCCCTTCCGCTGCTGCTCTTCGCCCGCAGAGATTACCCAAATTTCCTGTGTCCCTCTCAGGTGCCCACTGACTTGCCACACCTTGGCCGTGACCATGTGTTTGCCTTCTAAGGACGGCCAGATTCTGTTTTCCAGCGTGACGGGAACACGGCTTGGCTTGACCTCCCAGCAGCCCAGGATCAAAGTTCCCGCTTCTCCACGCCCTCCCGGGCACTGAGAAGGCGACGCCCCTGCTCCAGCAAAGCCCCACCCTGCCAGCTGAGGCCTGCAAAGCTGCTCGGTTGTGGCAGGAGCTGGGGGCCACCGCCCTCTGCCTCTGCGGGCGGCGGTAGAAAGGAGGAGAGGGACCCTCAGCTTGCCTCCTGCTCACAGAGGGCACCGGGCAGGCACCCCGGGCCCAAAGGCCTTCCAACGCCCCATCCAACACCGAAGGGCACTGGACTGAAGCAGATTCAACCCTGCGCTTGTTACAACAGCTTCCTCAGTGTACAGCGAGTCTGTCGCGGGCTGGAGCCCTGCTCTGACTATGCCCCTGTCTGTCTCGGCGGGGACCCGGGGGGGTTGGGGCGCCGCCTGGGCTCAGGGTTCCGAGGTTTCCTGTTTGCACTGTTCGTGGGTCTTCCTGGGAGAATGTGCCCTCGCCTCATGTGCACTTGTTTTTAAAGGTGTATTTATCTATTTGTGCACACAGAACTGGGGTGCAGGCCAGAGGTGCAGGGCAGTGAGAGGCTTCACCCGAGACAGAGTGGGGAGCACGACAGGCACACTGACCAAATACACTGCTGAGGGGAGCAGTGGGGAGACAGGAGAGGTCTGCTGCGCCCTGGACCTCCCGGATGAGGGTCAAACTCGGGCTGCAGGGGCTGCGGAGAGCTTCCTAACGCCACCAGGGAGGGACCTTCATGTGCACTTTTAACTCGGGCTATCTGGGCCTCCCTGGGGGCACAGCACTAGGAAACTGTGCACCCCCACTGCAGCACGAGTCCATCCCCGGCCAGGGAGGGACCCCGGGGCCCAGCAGACCCCTCCTGCTCCCCACTGCCCCTCACCAGTGTGTCTCCGTGGATCTGCCTGTTCTGCTCCCCCTGTGTCTCTGGGGTGTCCTCTCACCCTCCACTGTGGCCTGAGCCCCAGCTCTTGTTGCATAAGTAAATCAATCTTTTCAGAAAGATCTGAAATACCTATATACGTGGGCTGCGCGGACCCGGCCCAGCCGGCCTGCCCCTGCCCAGCCCCGGGGTCTTTCCATTTCGCTGCTCACGTCCTTTGAAGCAAGCAAGACTCAGACTCTGATATGAAACTTCATCATTTTTAAAAGCAATGAGTGAATCACCCCGCACACTGTGAGGCCATCCCAGTCACGGTCCTTAATGGCCGCAGACTCGGACCAGCTGTATCTAACAAGGCCACACCAGAGCACCACGGGTCCCTCGGACACCTCGGCCCCAGCACGCGGCTCTTCTCTGCCCCCTCCACTCGCGCCCCCCCATTCTGGACTCCAGTTTAGGCGCGTCACAGTCCTCGCCGCCGGCCACGGGGCCTCGCTGGACACTCGCTGCGAGAGGAGCCGGACGGACGCCCGGCTGTCCATCCTGCTGCCGCCGCGGGGGCTGGTCCCCGATCCCGCCCCTGCAGCACCGCGGGCCTGTGGCTGGGCGCCCCCCAGGAGGTGGCCGCTGCGTGACTTCACCCCTCTTGGCCACGGCCGTCACTCGTCTCTGCGGAGACTGAAGAGGTAGGTCATCGGGGAGACAGAAGAGGAGGAGCAGCTGGCCATCAGGGATCCCTGAGTGTGTCCAGTGCAGACTCCTGACTGCAACCCCAGTCAGAAATAGGGTGAGGGCTTGGGGCCTGCAGCCTAAGGTCCCTGGACCATTCTGATGTGGAATATTCCAGAAGCGTAATTCCTGAGGCACTGGTTTAGATCCTGAATCGGGGGGTGGGGGGGCCAGGGGCCCCAGGGTGCACCCACTCTTCACCCAGCTGTGCTGAGGGGTGGTGGGCTGGGACTGAGAGGGGCGTCTCCCCCCAGCCGGGTGTTCATGGGTGCGGGCCTCTGGGGCAAGCACGGATACTCCAGTGGGGGGTCCCCGGGGGCCCCTTGGGGTGGGAGGGTGTCCCGTGGAGTGGAGAGGGGTCCCGCGGGGTCTACAGACCGCCATTGAGGCTTCTGATGTCTGCCAGGCTGAGGAGCAGGCGACTGGGACTGGGGCTGGGCCCAGGTCCCCTCCATGTGGTGGCGGTGGAAATTTCTAGAAATCTCAGCGCAGTGCTGCAGCGGGGCTGGGGTTTCCGGGCAGACTCAGGCAGCGGCTGCAGGGGAGGGGCTGTGGGCGCCGCTGTCTGGAAACGCCGGCGTTTCCCGGAACGGACAGGCCAGGCCCCAGCGCCTGTCCACTGGGCTCCTGGCTGCCCTCCCTCCGGGCCGCCCTCAGAGGGAGGCCAGGGCCCCCAGCAGCAGAGGCAGAAGGGGCAGCGAGGGGAGCCCCGATGGCCACCCCGCGGCCTGATTGATCTCGCACCGGCAGTTGCAGGGCCCGGGCTGGTGGGGCGCTTTTCGGGGACCCAAGGTTGGAGGGCCGCCGCTGGGGGCGGGGCAGTCTAGCCACATGGGGCCCATGGGCTGCGGATAGCCGGGGTCGGCCTCCACGCTGCCCTTGGGGAAGTGCCAGTAGTGGGCGCCCTTGAAGAAGTAGATGTCACCTGCGGGAGGGGCGGCGGTCAGGGGCGGCCAGACGGGGCCCCGCGCGCCCACCCCGCCGGGCGCCAGGACCGCGCGCGCCCACCTGTGTTGCTAACGGTCACGTCGTCGGGGGCGGCCGGCGCCCCCACCCAGAGGCTCAGGTCGCGGGGGTAGCCGGGGTCGGGGCGCGCCGCCGCCTCGTCGTAGCGCCAGTACCGCCGGCCGCGGATCAAGTAGGTCCTGCCGTCCTGCGGCCACGAGAACACGGCGTCCACCGGCTCCCCCGCGGGCAGCCCCAGGTCGGAGATCGGCCGCGCGGCGCCCTCCAGCTGCCGGTCCCGGAACACCCAGAACTGGGGGCCTGCGGGAGGCGCCCGTGAGGCGCCCGTGAGACCCCGCCCGCCCGCGCGCCCACCCGCCCGCTCACCGCTGAAGAGGAGGATCCGGCCGTCGGTGCTGCGCGCGTAGGCCGCCTGGATCGCCTTCACGCCGGCCGGCAGCCCCTCCCAGAAGCGGTGCAGCCGCGCGGGCTGCGGCGACATCAGCTGTCCCGTGGGCCGCAGGCGCCAGAACCAGGGGCCTGCGTGCAGGAAGGGCGAGAGGGGGGCCAGGTGGGCGCGGTCTCCCCACCCCGAGGCCGGTGCGGGGCAGGCCCCAGCTGGAAGGCACGCCGGTGGCCAGGGATGGCCGGGACGTCCTTCCCACCCCCTCTTAAGCCCTTCATCCTAGGAAGCCCCCGGGCCCTGCGGTGGAGGTGGGCAGGAAATCGTCCACAGGGGGTCAGGGAGGCAGGAAGTCTCCACAGGGGCCAGCGGCTCAGACTCGCCTTTGAAGAAGAAGGTCTCCCCGCGGATGTTGGCGATGGCGTCGAAGTGGCCGTCACACCGATCCGGGAGGGGGCTGGAGGGGCTGGGGGCGAGGCGGTGAGCCGAGGAGGGGCCTAGGGCGCCCCAGCCCCGCAGGCGGAGCGGGGAGAGCCAGGGGGAGGGGCTCACCTGTCGGGGTGCTGAGGTGGTGGTGCGGGAGGACTCAGAGGTTTCCTGGTGGGCAGGCCCCCCCGGGGGTGGGGCACTCTCCCTGCGGGCACAGAGCGGCAGAGCTGGGCTTCCAGGCCCTGCTGGGGAGCCTGGGCAGCCCCCAAGCCAGCCCCCGGCCCTGTACCATAGAGCTGCTGCAGGCCCTGGCGGTCATCCTGGGACAGGCGGTACTGGTGGGGTGGGCCCACCCGGCCCTGGTAGAAGGGCCTCATGATGGAGTCCGGTGCCGAGGAGTGGCCCAGGCCCAGGCTGTGGCCGAACTCGTGAACAGCCACGGCGAACAGGTCGATGCCCTCGCCGTCTGCGGGAGAGTGGGCTGGAGCTGCCACCGGGGTGGGGGGCGGGAGCGGGCAGAGAGGGGCAGGCCCCGGCAGCCAGCAGGCCCATCGGCTTGGACCCCCCCAAGTCTCTTATTGGCTAAAAAAGCTCAGTGGGGCCCTCCCTGGGGGCGCAGCGGGTTACAGAGCAGCACTAAGAAGCTTAAGCCAATTCCGCATGAGTTCCATCCCCGCCTGCCCCGGAGGTGACCACATGGCGTGGCAGACCTCTCCTGACCCGCCCGCTGCTCCCCTCAGCAGTGGACTTCGTAGATCTGCCTGTTCTGCTCCCCACTCTGTCCCTGGTGAAGCCTCTC